TTTTTTTTTTTTTTTTTTTTTTTTAAATATCCTAGACTTGTGCACTGGAGTCATGACCGAAAGCAGTACAGTTTATGGCAAGACTGCTATGAAGGGAGATAAATAAAAAGCCTGATAATGCAGAGGCAGAAGTAGCCCTTTTCTATATCTAAAAGGGACTGAGGTGGCCATTTGGCTCCATTAAATCTGTTTCTTCTTTTTGTTGAGCCTTGAAAAATAAATAGCAGAGTGTCCCCCTGGATCACTATGGTGATCTGAGAAGTTGTGTATACTGCTCTGTTGGTGTGCGTTTATGTAGGGGAAAAAAAAAACAAAACAAGAAGCCTACATGAGTGCCTTCTTTTGTGTTTTTAGAACACTTTTTGACATTGATTTGCCTGCATTTGAATATTCTCCTTTATATTTCCCACCTCCTTGAAATGTTCTCTATTCATTCTGCGAGTGACCTGAGCCTTGAGCTCCACCAGTTCATTGGGATTTCTGGAAAATACTAAATTAAAATTCTAGAATCAAACCAAAATCGTATTTTAAGACGTGCTCAGCCAGGACCAAACTACCCCAAACGACAGATACTTCCACCTTGCTATTTATACAATAGGCATCTGCCACTAGTTCCTCTCTGCCACTAGTTCCCAAAAGAAAAAAAGACAACAAAGTTAAAAGCAGCCTTTATATATTATATATACATATTTTTTATATATATATATATTTATTTATTTATATATACACACACACACACACATATATATGATGTCAGGCACTCTCAGCAGCCTAGTAAAGCATAATAAAGTTTGGAGACTGCTTATCACTTTAAGACTTTAAGATTCTGATTGGTACTATTTTGCCTGTTAGAGAGGAGCCAGGAGATAAAGAGACCAGGGAGAAATGTAAAGGAGAGTTGTACCCATCTCCACACACTTTGGGGGCCATATATTTATATATTTGAGGTATGCAAATTGGATGTCTGGCAGTAGTAAATGAAATCTGGTGGCCACTTATCATGTATTTCTTTGTAGAGGGGAGGAAATCTTTATTTTTGGCTTGGGAAAGAATAAAAAGAGGTCAAGCAGTGTCTCTTTTCTTCCCAAAAGAGTGCAAGTCCTGTTAAACAAGTAAATTTTCCACAGGAGGCTGGAGATAGTATAGCTGCTTGGCCTCCCTCTACCTCTTACATTCACTCATTTTAGAACTATATTCACATATTTGTCCCTGCAAAGCCTTCACCGAACATTTCACATCAGTGATCAGGCTCAAAACAGCAAAAGCTTCATGGAAAACAAAAAGAAACAAAAAATTAAACTGCCCCATCGACTCAAGTGGAAGTCGCCATGGGGTCCTTATCCCATCATATCTGTTTATAATCACACCTTGAGATGGTAAGGGAGAGAGTTATTATTTCCTGGTGATCTGCAAAGGAAGAGCTTTACACGAGAGCAGGACGTTCCCGCAGGCAAGGACTAAGCACATGAGGTGGAGGACCAACATTTCCCTGACACTGCGAGAAACCAAGGCCAAGAGAAACAATTTATCCACTTTTCCCCTTCTGGTCAGTGCCAAACGTTTGCTCTGCTGCATGGAAATTCTGGGCATCCCTTACTCTATTTATCCACTAATTCCACAAACTCTTTCCGTTTCAAGAATTTTATCTCTAACAAGTGTATTTTATGCTTTCCGTAGACACATTTTTGCATAACTCGCTGCCTTCCTTCTGAAAACATACCGTTATTTTCTTCCCATATATCTGCATGAAAATAATACCATAGATTCTTATTCCTTTCCCATTTGTAATTAAATATGATTATTCTTCTTATTTTTTTCTTAAACTTTTAATCTCTGGAAAGAAAAAAAGAAAAAACCCAGTCTCCATTTCATTGGATGTGGCTGGCGCTTTGCCAACTATTTTACAACACTGGAAAAAAAAATGCAACTCTGAACCTTCTAAAAATAAAATGGGCAGATTAAGTTTAGCCCAGAGAAACTTGCAACAGGCAGTGGATTTTCCAAAACAGCCTTGTGTATTTTATACAGCGTGTAGCTATAGGAGGAGGGAATAAATCAAACAGAAACAACAAAAACCACTACAAAATTATTAAATTATTTTCACTCTCGTGCTTGGCTAGCTACACTCCCACCTGTCTTTAAGCTAAATTGTTTTGTTCTGTTGTGGTTCAGGGTTTTGTCTCCAAAACTTTTATTTTTTATGCCCCAAGTGGAGAAATCTCCTATGATCTGTAGCTCGTTTGCCAAGAAATGGAGTGCACATCTGTAATATATTACTTAGGCAAACTGAGTACAGCCAGCCAGCAGGCAACAGCTTGGAAAGTTTCTCTACCTGCTGAAATTCATCTTCTTGCCTAGCTTGGGGCTCTCCTGCAGCAGGCATGTCCTGAGCACGTCGCCAGCGAGAGTGGAGCATTTCCCCGTTAATCTGACAAAGCAGCGCATACCTTCAAGCTTTTGAGTCATGTTAAATTAAATTTATTGGTATGTTATTACCAGTAATACTTGTCTATATGCACATATGCATAAAAGGATCTCCATGCAATGTTGCGGACCTTAATTTGGGCAGCAGGGTGGTCAAAAAAGCTCTAGTATACAGCAAAGCATTTTTTAAAAGAATGTAAGCAGTGATGGCTACTGAGCAATAGCAAGATGGTTTAAAGTCATAAGGAGAGTTTGTCTTCTCACAGCTATTTCTTTATTGGAAAACGTATTGGACTGAGGATTTCATAGCCTTAGACAKCAAGGAAAACCAAAAGTACTAACCAGTGTGGGGCTGCTATTTAATCCTCCTTGAAGGTTTTTATCCCATTAAAAAGGGTTTTATTCCATTAAAAATACTTTGGGGGCCAAGGAAGTTTGGTTTAAGTGCAACATCATAGTCAGGATGCCTAGCAGCCAGGTCATCAGGCACCCAAAGGCCACGAATTAGCCTTCTAGCATAGTCCCAATGCATGTCTTCAATACTCATCTTGTTGTTTCCTTTACTCTCCATACAAAGCAATATCAAGTTATTGGGGAAAAATATACAACTGCAGGGCTTCTTTACTGAGAAAATCTCCCTTTTCTTAGGAAATCTGGTGTAAAATAAAATTTTATATATCAAAGGGTCGCCTAAAACTTCAGGATAAGCTGCTGCAGTCTGAGAAAGGCTCTTCTGCTGTCCATGTCCTGGCCCGACATGTCCAGCTCCTTTCTACTCCTCCCAGCGCCTAGTGCCTCTCCTTTTAAGCAGTGTAGTGACTAATTGGAAATGCATTTCAGTTCTTCAGAAGCAGCTTTTCCCTTCCTGCTGACCAGCCAAATGTTTTAAAGTTGGCAAGGCGCTGCTTAAACTTGGGAGTTCGAGCACTCGTTTGTGGCCTAGATATGTGATAAAATCCGGCTGAATCTAATAACTCCATTGTAAAAAAAAAAAAAAAGAAAAAGAAAAGCCTGATATTAGAACTGCTATGAGTAAATCCAAGCATTACAAATCTCTGCAGCAAGTCCTTTCTCCCTTGGCAAAATGTGTGATGTGGGAGACAAAGAATTGCAAGGCTAAAGTTTAAGAAAACGCACAAAGTCACGCGCCRGCACCTGAACAGAACCGCAGAAAAAGCAGGCGTCGATCCAAAAGAAAATTACCCTGGGGGAGACTGTGGTAACTGAAATACCCTGGGGACATCAGCAATCACTGATTCATGGCCAGGCATTGACCAGAGCCCCGGGGCTCAGAGCATGGTCTCATGCGGAGCAACTGAGAAGTTGCCTTCATCCAGCAGCCACAGTGACTGAGTGGGGTTTATTTCCCTGCTAAACAGCAGGTGCGATTGCAYGAAGCCCGCACTTTAATGGTTAACCGTTAATCTTAAGTCACAAAAATGCACCTTGTATGGGTCGACGCCTCACTTTTACAAAGCCTACAGAGACAGACTTTCAAGAGAAGATATTTTTCTTATGTGGATTGCGATTTTAATGGATTTTCAAGTGCTTTCAGATTTTTGCTTGTGACAACCACAGCAATAAAAAGCTTCAGGAACAAAGCTGCATTTTTGTGCCTCTTCACCTGCAGAAAGTGACTGTTACAGYGTGCTTTATTACGGGAGAAATGCTTCCCAGATCCGCAAAGACACGTCTTTCACCAAACTCCCATCACCCTAACTGTTTTTAAGGTATTTGTCAGTTACTTTAAACAGCACATCAGCCAAACATTTGCATCCTATGCTAAACTTCTTTTAAGTCTACTGAGTCTCTTTCTTTGATAGAGCACCGAGCTTGGGCCACCCCAGCTGCCCCTTTGGAGCCCGAAAGAATGAAAGGGAAGAAAAGCTCCTTGTACTTGCCAGGGATTTTCCAAAAGAGCTCGTGCACACCCCAATCTGCTCCTTTCATTCCTTTCGGGGGAGTCATGGGTCAAATTTGGTGCAGCAAGAAAGAGCAGCTGTTAACCCTTCCAGC